ACAACTTCCTGTGCCGAGGAAAATACAAATTTTGCAGCCATTTAACTCTTGATCCTCTAAGAGAGCTTGTAGTTCTTTGTGTAGCAGAACCTTTGTGTTTTTATTGCAGAGCTGGTGATGTTTGGGATTGGCTTCCACCACGCAGGAGTTGATTTGTCTGACAGGAAGCTGGTAGAAGAAGCCTTTACTCTGGGACACCTGCCTGTTCTTTGTGAGACTAAATACAGTTACCATGTTATGGATACTCACAAAAAGGATTAACATTTTTAACTGTTTCAATTCAGTATACTGTATTTATCTCAGGTCACTATACAGACATTCACATACAGGAGATTATAAAAGGCCAGTTAGTAAATGTTATCTAAAATAACAAAAGACTGTGTTAAATCTTTTCTTTGTCACCATCTCCCATCCCAAGATGCACTTTGTCAACAGTGCCTCCCTTTAATTGTAAGAAATCTCCAGCAGAAGTAGAACCAGGCTCAGGATGAGTTCAGGATGAGCCTGGTTCTTTCAGTTGAGCTTCAGTAGGGTGCTTAGGGTCGATGACCTCCTGGAACGTGGACATCTAACCTCAGTCTCAAATTTCTGGAAGACTCAAACAGGTTTCCATCAAGAATTTCTCTAAATTTTGCTCCGTCCATCTTCCCCAGTTTCTTCACCACGATCGACCGAAGCAACTTTATTACTGAAGTTGAGGCCCTAATCTCCCGCTCCATTCCAGCGTCACTCGTGAACAAGACACCCAGATTCTTAAAGGGGACCTATTATGCAAAATTCACTTTTTAAAGTTTTTTTTTTAACTTAACTTTGGGTATGTACTTCTTAAAAAACAGTCCTAGGACCCAAAAAATGCACCCAGGAGCGTATTTACTGTAAGTAAATGAATTTTTAATGTATATTAACGACAAGTTTTATACTTCCGTCATTTTGTGATGTCACAAGCTGTACGACAACCCACCGGAACCTGCGTTCAGCCCCTTACCTAGCAACCCCTGGGTAAAGTCCACAGATTACCTTTTGTGCATTTGTCAAAGGAAAAAAATGACCCATGCCTGTTTAAAACCACAACTTAACATTTAAAATGTTACATTTTAAATGTAAAGTTATTCTCAAAGGTAGAATTTGTGTTTTTTGAACCGTTGCTGTCTCAGTTACCACCAGGACTCTGGCCATGGGCGTAAACCTTCCTGCTCACCTGGTGGTGATCAAGTCCACAGTGCAGTATGTGGCAGGCTCCTGTGAGGAGTACAGTGAGGCTGACATCCTGCAGATGATCGGCCGGGCCGGACGTCCTCAGGCAGGAACAGAATTTTAATTTGAATATTTTGTTTGCGTTTTCACAGGTCATAAAATGTGWACTTATCTGTGTTTTCACTGCCTTCTGTGTTTCCTGCTGTAGTTTGATTCATCAGCGACTGCAGTGATTATGACCAAGGTTCAAACCAGAGACAAGTACATGAAAKTTATGAATGGAATAGAAATCATTGAGAGCAGGTAGAACAGAGAGCACTTAGCATCACTTTTCTCTCACACACAGGAGAAGATAATACTTTAGCACACGAGGTAACAATACACTCTGCTTCCCCAGCTTACACAGTCACCTGGTGGAGCACCTGAACGCTGAGATTGTTCTCCAAACCATCAGTGATGTCAACATGGCTTTAGACTGGATACGCTCCACATTTCTCTACATCAGAGCCCTGAAGAACCCTACACACTACGGTGAGAGGCTCAGTTTCAGATTACCTATCAGAAAGAMTGACAACCTTCTATCCTGTTCTGCAAAGCTCTTAACAACCAAGCTCCATCATATATTAAACATCTTATTGTTCCATACTTTCCTAACAGAGCACTTCACTSTCAGACTGCAGGTTTACTTGTGGTTCCTGGAGTTTCTAAAAGTAGAATGGGAGGCAGAGCTTTCAGTTATCAAGCTCCTCTCTTGTGGAACCAACTTCCAGTTTCTGTCCGTGAGGCTGACACTCTGTCTACTTTTAAGATTAGACTTAAGACTTTCCTTTTTCATAAATCCTATAGTTAGACTTAGGTTTCCTGAATTATTCTTCATTTCTGCTGCTGTAGCCTTAGACTGCTGGAGCACAAACTGAGCACATTTCCTCACTCTGCTGTTGTCTTTAGTCTCTACTCTTACTGGGCCTAATGGAAGAACATGTTCGTATTCTTATCCTAAATTTCTCTTACTTTTGTTCGTACGAAGGGTTCGTACGAACATGTCACYTCAGATTCAACAAACTCTTCTATCTTCAGGAAAAGTGTGTAAATGAGCTGCGTAAACTGATGAATGTGTATCAGGTGCTCGTGCACGAGGAGAGATTAGCATAATTACCACCCCAAAAACACCATATAAGGCTACGTTTCCTGCCCCACATACCAGGAAGTGTTCATTCATAAATGACATCACAAAATAAAAAGAAGAACTTTATGAGTTCGGACATTGAAGTTCTGCTCTCAGAGATCCAGGGAAAAAAATCTGTCATTTTTAGCAGCGTCAGCTGTGGAATTAAAGGAGCTGCTGAAGCCGAGGAATGAAATGACTGTTGTTAATGTTGTGTCTCCTGTGGGTCATAGCTACAGTCACAGAAATAAAAATCTAATCATATTCATCTCTAGTCCTGCTCCGGGTTTCCCTTGGTCAAATATTTTAATGTAAGTGTAAACAGCTGTGTTATAYTATAATAATTTTCATTTATTCAGAAGAAGAGCCACAGCTCATATCATCTCCCACACATGTAAATGGTGTCAGATGTGGTTCTGAAAAAAAAAAAACATTTTAAAATGTCTCCAAATGATGTACTGAATAAATCTCAACAAATTAAAATTTGATTAAAAAACTAACAATCTATAAAGCTCGTTATATACCGAGACAGATTAACTTCAGTTAATGCATAGTTTAAGTTGGTTTGTAGTTTGAGATCTTTATATTAATATTGTAGTCTTATACAACAGCATTAACAGCCAATTTAATTTAATTTAACCAATTTATGTTGTTAGTCTACATTATTACATTTAAAATTATTATTCTAGTTCAAACAGAATAGCTCATTGTCAAACACAATTATGGAGTATGATCTGGATAACAGCAGACTGACTGCTCGTAAAATATACGACAGGTCTGGACCACACAGGAATTTTGTTCGTATCTGAAAAAAAACTTAGAATACGAGAAAATTGGTGAATGCCACAAATTCTCCTAAATCACTCGTACACACAACTTAAGAACAAATCTGTGCGTACGAACGGTTCTTGCATGAGGCCCACTGTTTCTATATATGTGACTCATCATTTTAAAATGAGGATTAAGTATAATTTGTTCAAAATGACCTCATTATATTTTCAGATTCTTGGCTTTAAAAGCTACATTTTAATACTTAAATCATCCTGATATCATTAGTAGATCCAGAGACATTATTTCATTTGTCTTGTTGGTTATAATAATACATAAATATTTGGTCAAAATCCTAATTTTATGTCATTTTAATGAGTATTTTCTATGTCATTTGAAAAAAGGAACCTCAAATAGTATTTAAATAATGAGATTACCCAGCTGGAAAGAAACAAAAGTTTTGATAGCTCACAGTGAAAATCTCAAAATTTTAAGCCGTTTTTCCTCTAAATCGGGTTTTTGGTTGATAATGCTCAAAAAAGTGCTTCAAATATTTTTTTAGGATTATATTTCAGATCATTGAAATGATGCATTGATAACACTTTTGTTATATTTTGACAAAATGTAATTTTTGCAAGCGTTTTTATCAAAACACTAAATCTGCCTATTTCTCCACATACAACTTTTAGACTTAATCCTCATTTCGATGTGATGGCTCACATATTATTACTACTGTTAGTCTGCGTTTTTCTTAGTTTCTTTCTATAGAAACTGCATTTGTACCAAACAGACCACACCCGGACCAGCTGTTTCTGTTCCAGCGGGTCGTGTCAGATGGAGGCCCATCCTGAGTCTGGTTCTGCTGCACGTTACTTCCTGTTTAACGGAAGTCATTCCTGCCAGCTTCCTTCCTTAGAAAAATAACTTTTACTGAGTGTCTTTTATACTGTATGTGAATTGGTGCTTTATAAATGAACTGAACAGCTGTGGGCAGCTGTTTACTAAGTGTACTGACTTTATTCACCTTCTTTTCAGGTTTCTCTGCTGACTTGGACAGATTCGGTATTGAAGCTAAGTTGCAAGGTGAACAACTGCTCAGCATCTATCAAGATTTTCTGTTATTAAATTCAAGATATTTACAAAGTTGCACAAACAGTTGTAAACACTGCTAATATTATTTTACTGTACAGCTTTAGATTTGTTTATCTCATCCTGTTGTAGAACTGTGTCTGAAGAARCTCAACGCTCTGTCATCCATTGATTTAATCAGCATGGATGAGGATATTAACATCAAACCAACAGGTACAGACGTGTTTACACAATGTTCAGGGAACTTCCTGGTTTGGCTTAGTTTGTATTTTTTAGTATAGTAATATTTATGAGCACAGTTTCTCTTTTTACTCATAAATAGTTTTGAATACGTCTYTTATTGAAGCCTAATCCTTTTTTATAAATTCGACAGAGGCTGGCAGGCTGATGGCGAGGTTTTGTGTTGCTTTTGGCACAATGAAACTGATCAGCAACGTGGTCGGCAACGAAAGTTTATCTGACCTGGTAGGCTTTCTTACAGTATTTTATTAACATGCAGTTAGTTTTGTGTTGTACGGTTGGAGAAGTAGATTTGARTTTTAATGATTCTTAAAAAGTTCAGAGCAAAAACACACTTTTACAGGCCTCAGTGAGTAAACATTATAAAGTGATGTAGATAATTAAGAAGTAATTTTGAAAACTTACACTGTAGAAGTCCWTTTTTTTTTTTTTTTTTTTTTACTGTTTTGGGATTTACCGTGCCCTGGGTGAATCCACCAGCAGATAAACACAAAATTTTCCTGAAAAAAGCAGGAATCAGGAAAAAGTTAGATTTTTTTCCCCTGGGTTGGTCTTGTTCACAAGTGATGCAGGATATAATGAGTGATGGATCAGTAACGAAACAGGACCTTGTCTGTCTTAATGAGGATGTTGCTCCAGTCTGTTGTGGTGAAGAAGGATCTGAGATAAAGGCAAAACTCTGAATTAAAGGTAATATCTCCCTGGGAACAGACTGATTAGAAGGTGAACAACCTTTGAGGGAAAATCTTACTTCAGTTTCTTTGGATGAGATGCAGAGGTGCACAGTCTTGTTGCTTGAGTTTTGAACGAGGTGAGGGGATGGAGTAAGGGGCCTTGTATGTGAGGTCATGGCTCTCCCCAGAAAGACACTAAGCTTTAATCAAAAGTTTGTGTCCCTCAGATGAAGGACACAAGATTAGAAACACTAAGGTAATTGGTCAGGGTTAGGCAGTGGTGGGCAGCGCTAAACCAAAAATTAGCTCTGCAATTTCTAAAGCGCTTGTGAAAATATTTAGGTCCGCAACTTCAAAACCGCTTATGCCGTAGAAAAACTAGCAGAAGCAATTTGACACTTACTAGCTGACAACAATTCATGTACAATATATGCACAACACTGCCAACTAGTGGCGTATGAACTCTTTTACAGCTTAATCCTACAACTGCCGATTGCTGGGGATGTGATTTCCTGAAACAGACCTTTGGCTCCTGGTGTGAAAATCAAAAAGTTGTTGAGAATTGCTAGTTCAGCTGCTTCTTTGTCTTTTTCTTTTGTTTGTTGTAGATTTTTCATTAAAAAAGCATCAAAAAAGTAATTTTAAAACTGTATTGGAAAACTGAAGCGATGCATTCTGGGTACATGACAGATTTGATTTGTGACCGGAAATGAAAGCACGGAGTGCAGGAAACTATCTTCCCTTCAAAATAAGAGCTTGGATTTTAAAGTTGTCCTTGTAGTTGCTCCAGTTGACCACTAGATGTCAGTCTTCACCAGCATAACATCTTTAAATCATTTCTGAGTCTCTAACACTGTTGCTTCGACCAATTACGTCAAGTATTGAGCTACAGCGTTTAAACTTTATTTTTTTTAAAAAGGGAGCTCCGATTGTAAAGTAAAATAAATCGATACATAAAATTTTTTAGTATGGATTACAAACGTTAACTGTTTCTGCTATTGCATTGTGGGAAATCAGAACTGTGACCAAAAGCAATACTCAGCAAGGATGTATACCTTCACAATAAGTGTGTTTATCTGGGAGGGGTGCTGTTGGATAGATCACGTGTTGTGATTAATTGACAGTCATACCTTCTGCTGTTCAAGACCATGATGACGGTGATAATAATTAGTTATTAGCGGTACTGCATTTTAATTTTAGAAAGCTCAAATCTGCTTGTGAATTATAAAAATCAGTAAGTCCACTAAAGCGCAAATGAAATATTTAGGTCTGCAATTAGTGGATTTGCGCTTTAGCGGCCTGGTGCCCACCACTGGGGTTAGGATATAAAATTACCAAAAAATGAATGGAAGTCAATGCACTGTCCCAACAGGGATATAAAAACAAACCTATGTGTGTGTGAGAGAGAGAGAGAATCCGGGAACTGCCAAACTGAATTGCTTTTTGGGGATAAGTTATTTGACTCAGTCAGAATTCAGTTTGACTGCGACAAAGGATTGACATAATTTTGGATCACCAACTTTTCTCCAACAGTTTCAGCAAAGTGAGATTCTAAGTTTGTCCATCTACGTTCCAACATTCATCTATATGGTCATGTATTAGAGAAAAAACGAGGTGCTCCTTTACCTGAGTCATTTCAGATGGTTCAGCTGTCTAACTAGGATATGCCTCTCTCTGGATATCTTTTGGGCAAGTCCCACTGGGAGGAGACCAGGGGATACTCAAAACTTTCTGGAGGAAAAATGTATTCTCTTTAGTCTGGGAATGCTTTGATTCCTCACAAGGAGCTGGAACCTGTCATTCTGGATCCACAGATTGAGTTGGTGTCAAAGAGCAGAGAGTTCAGTGACATTCAGCTGAGAGTGAACGAGAAAAGAGCCCTGAACACACTGAACCGGGACAAAAACAGAACCACCATCAGGTCAGACATGTTTATATGATCACAGTCAACATTTCTTTAGACTCCAGGTCTTACATTTTGTACAAATTTGTCCCCAGATTTCCTCTTGAGGGAAAGATCAAAACCAGTGAGATGAAAGTAAACTGGTTGGTGAAGCTCCTATCAGTTTACTGCTGCTGATGTTTGGATTGTGAACTGTCTACTACAGATGATGAAATTTGACTGTCTTGTAGCTTAATTCAAGCTCATCTGGGTTCCATCTCGATTCAAGACTTTGGACTTACTCAAGACACAGCAAAGATCTTCAGAATTGGGATGCGCATTAGTAAATGTATGAATGTCAGAAATTATAAAGGAAAAAGGCTTTAAAAAATAAAACAAAATAAAGAAAACTTACATGTATTTTGATCCCAACAGGCTTGTCGGAGTTCRTGAGTCATCAGTCCAAGAGTAACTTCACTGCTGTTCTCAACTCCCTGATCCTGGCTAAGTGCTTCAGAGCCAAACTTTGGGAAAACTCACCCTACGTCTCTAAACAGCTGGAGAAGATAGGTGAATACACTGTTTTGTTGCTGTTGCTGTTACTGTACACAACCAGAAATAATCAAAAATACAGTACTAAAGCTAATATATCTGTGTCTGTAAGGTAGTTTTAAACAATTTAATATTAACACATTGTGTGTTTCAGGTCAGAGTCTGTCCACTGCAATGGTCAATGCTGGACTCACCACGTTCACCAAAATAGAAGAAACCAACCCCAGAGAGCTGGAGCTGGTCAGTCGGCCTAACTCAAACTTAAATACACGAAAGATGGTGTAAAATTCAAACCTTGATCCCAGTCAGGATCCAATCTTAGTGTTAACCATTAAAAAAACGACGGCTCAGTGGTTAGCATGTACCATAGGTTGCCTTCAGGCCCAGGCCTCCCTTGGAAAAGAGACCTGAGATCTCAACGGGACTTAGTAACTGGTGGGAACGAGATACTAACTGGTGGGAACGAGATACTAACTGGTGCGCACGACTTAGTAATTGGTGGGAACGAGATACTAACTGGTGCGCATGACTTAGTAACTGGTGCGAACGAGATACTAATTGCTGCGCACGACTTAGTAACTGGTGCGAACAAGATACTAATTGGTGCGCACGACTTAGTAACTGGTGGGAACGAGAT